AACACAATACAAGTCTTCTCTCAGACAGCATCAGGAATCGGGGCCATGTTTTAAAGACAAACACACTGAAGCTGTAGTCAGAGACTTGTGATGAAAGTTCCCAAAATGTCTTAGTTACTTAAATCTCTTCTCTGGGCAGAAAATCAAGGAGATTTTTGTTCTTAATTGCTAAGCACTTAACATCGCCATGCTTAGTAGCTAAAATATAAGTACTACTCCTCTCCTGTGTAAAGCGAGAACTTTTTCAACACCCCAAAACTGTGCCTGTTACTGCAGGGCTTAGTATTTTGGGGCCAAATTGGTTCCAACCAACTCGGTGAGAAAGAGGTGCCTGCTCAGCCCTGCCTGTGGGATGAGCCTGTCTACTTGTACTCAGCTCTCTCTTCTGCAGCCTAATCCAGAGGGATCACAGCAGGGGAGAGAAGCAGGAGGAAGATGAGGAGACAAGCTGGGTCCACGACATTTTTCTGTGTAAACCTATTCTGAAGTCTTACTGTTGTGATTAAAAAATCCAATTAAAGTATAAAAAAAAAAAACCCTAGGGATTTAACAGGACAAAACAACATTTTCTATTGTTGGCATTTAATAGGATTTACATTGCATAGTCCAGCAGAACTCTTTCCTTTTAGTGCAGTATCCGCTTACACTGCTCAGCCAGGCTTGTTGACACCAAGAGACATATAAGACTCAGTATCCAAACTGCGCTCTGTCTTTGTCTCATTCAGATAGCTATCTACTTGCTGCTGCCAAGTACACTGTTTTTTAACTTTTTTTTTCTTTCCTTCTCTCCTCAGATCTCAGTCCAACATCCTTGGCAAGACTAACCCAGGCACATGGGTGACCTGTCCCCAGCAGAGGAGTGTTTCTGCCACCCACCTCTCAACCAACCGTGTCCTGGGCTGTATCCAAGGAAGCGCAGCCAGCAGGTCAAGGGGGCAGATTCTCTCCCTCTACTCTGCTCTTGTGAGATCCCACCTGGAGTACTGTATCCAGCTCTGGCACCCCCAACATAATAAGGATATTGAGCAGTTGGAGTGAGTCCAGAGGAGGCCACGAAGATGCTCAGAGGGCTGGAGCACCTCTGCTATGGGGACAGGCTGAGAGAGTTGGGCTTTTTCAGCCTGGAGAAGAGAAGGCTCCGGGGAGACCTTATAGC